TCTTTACTTTTTTTTTGTTTTTATAAACAAAACACAAATATTTATAAGAACAATTTGGTTATAGAAAAGTTCTTCGAATTCGAAATATCTTCTCTGAGTTAAAATTTTACACACAAATGTAGTTTTATCTGCTTAAAGCAGATGCGCATAGATAAGATCCGTGTACAGAGAATAGAAAATTGAAAACTAGAAAGTTGAAGAAAGGTGCGTACAAATAATGGAAGCGGATTGTAAATCGTGCCGCAGCTAAAGGGTGCCTATTGGCATAGGGAGGTAAGCAACTAATCAAAAACGGAACTATGCTTATTTGCTATTACTGGCATTGTTGGTGTTGCTGTTGTGCAAGAGTTAATAGCAACAAATCCGGTGGAAAATGGAATCGCGTACTCGATTGTTGAGCCGGATTGATTAAATTTGCCAAAGACACGAGCGAGCCGAGGAATCCATAGACACGCCACGCGCAACCAAATGCAGATATATGCGCACATACCTACATATGTATGTATATGTAAATAGCTGAAGGCCTTGACAGATTGACTGGCAACTGAACAGTCGCCGTTAAATAGCAGCATTTAATTTGTTGACAGTTAAAGCAACGAATTTACACCTTCCATTTCCAGGCACGCTAATAAATAAATATCACTCTCGCTGTAGTTGTTGCTGTTATTGTTATTGTTGGCAAGTTTACATAGATAACTTTGATCGCTTCAAATTTGCGTTTCTATTTTCTTTGCTGTGTCCATATTTAATGCCAGACACATTAAAAAATAAAAATCGCACACAGCACGTAACTGCCGATCAGTCTGTGTATTTGTGTGTGTTGTTGTTGGTGCAGTGAAAACTCGCGCAAATGGCAGAGCGAAATGTCAAAATTTGATACGTGAAATTTACAACTTGAAATTAAGCAAATTTGAGACGTGTGCATGCATACACCCAACAACAAAAACAACAAGCTGGAAGTAGTGCATTAAAACGGAATGAAATTCGGTCAAACCGCAAAAGAGCGCTTGTGAGGGAAGAAGCCACAAAGCTTCTGCGAAATAACAAAGAAATGCAAAACATGTGAGAACGCCGAGAGTGTTAACTGCAAGCAAAGAACTTGAGCTATAAAAAACAAAAAACAAAGTGGCAAATCAAATAACACGCGATACGGGCAAATCGGAGGTGCTTCTGCCCATATATACATATGTATATGTATGTACATATATACGAGGTTCGTATGACAAATCAGTGGCTTTGCATGGAAGTAACTTTTTCGGATAAAAACCCTGTCTAATTTCTACATTTACAGCATTCACATCGACTTTGGCATTCGACCCGAATCTTTTGCCACCGAGCCGCTTGCTCAAGTTCTAGAGATATTTAACTGTTGTGAGGAACCAATTAGGAGCTACGGGTTTATGTGACCGGGAAAAAATATTTGAGTAATGTTTTCTGTCACTACCACAACAACAAACTCTGGAGATGGACATTGAATAAGCATTAGTGGAAAATCTTTTCTTCACGAAAGCGAAAAACTTTGCTTTAAATCAATATCGTGCTTTTCCAATAGCTTACAGCTAATAGTGAATATTGTAGCTATTGTTGTAGCGTCACCTAATTCTTATAGATTTGTGTTTAACCTGTAGACTTTGATTTCGTGCTAATCAAAGCATATTTTCAGGGCTCTCAAAACCAATAATAATTTTTTTAAGTAACATGAGTTTCGTAAATACGAGTTAAGGGCACATTTTGGGTTTTAACATTAAACACCACTTTTATTTGGTTTACCAAATGTTTTGCAGTTTAGCATTAAACACCACCCGTAAACACCGCGTTTCTATCCATTTTAATACAACTTTTATCTGGTGTTTATGGAGAATAATTATAGTGGTATGTTGATGTAATTATTAATTTTTAATAACATTTTTATTTGGTGTTTATGAAATTACCACCCTGATTTACACTTAAAACGCAAACGGAAAGGAAACGGAAAATAAAAGAAGCCAAACACCAGAATAAATAAAACACAGCACCAAAGAACTCTTCTGGTGAGAAAATGCAATTTGATTCTTGGATACGCGTTCGATTATATTTACTATCCTCAATAATGCTGGACAACAGTTTTGAACGAATTACGGAATTTTTTGAAATAAGAAAAGCTCATCACGTCATAATAAATGAGCATAATTTTATAAAACTTGAGGGCTCCTTTTATAAAGAAGGCATGAAAGCAATAGAAAATTTCCAAAAAGAAAGTGTACAGAGTTAAAAGCAGGTTGTCTGGAGAAATAAAAATGATTTATTAACTTTTCATTGCTTTTTTCAGATAAAATTTCTCTGCAACCTTACGTATATATAATCTACCTATACGAACAAACTTTTCATTAGTCCAAAGACGCCTTCAGCTACAAAACTAGAAGAACTACTATTTGCCCCAGTATTTACGTCGTCCTTTTAAATCTTACACCTACCTTCACTAAGAAAATAAACAATATTTGTATTTATAAGCTTCTAATAAACCAACAAAGCAAAAAGACTAGTTAAACAAAAAAAATCGAAGTACTACTTTAGAGTGCTCAAAATTGACAGCTGAAAAAAGTAAAGCAAATCTCAAGACACAAGTTCTTTGTGAAAGCTAAAAAGTAACAAAAATTCTGCGCCAGCAAGCTGCCGGAAATAGATGTGCCTCTTGCCCTTACTGTCCGCTCACGCGATGGCTCATTGGCTCCTTTGTAGCTACCCTCTGGTAGTGCAAAATGAAGTGGGCATTGAACTCTCAAGTGTAATATATTACTTCGATGCCAATCGTGACACGTACAAAAAGTACATGTGTACCATTCAGGCATCTTGTGCGATGGGCGAGTTATCTAGCATTTCATATTTGGAGCACAGAGCCACGATAAGCTTAGAGAGTTGCCAAAAAGCTGGAGCAAGAAAAATAGACTTCTACTGAGTCATACACACATGTTTTTGTATTCGGTATTTGTGGAGAAAAATTGTGTTTGGTTTTCGGCTCATTGATCAATTGGTGTGCATGAATAGAAAAAATCTGGAAGCAGTAGGACTAGGTAAACTACAGTGTTGTGAAGTATAGTTGCAGAGGTGTGAGTTTTTTTTAAAGTGAACGAGTTGTAAAGGAGAGCTTACGTATTTGCAATTTAAAAAAAAATATCAACAAAACGAAATTCAAGTATAAAATTTAATTTTAAAAAGACAAAAATAATATAAAAAAAATAATTTAATTTTAAAAAGACAAAAATAATATAAAAATAATAATTTTTTTTTAAATAAATATATAAGAATTAATAAATAAAAACATAAAGAAATAATAAAAACATTTGAAACAAATTAAAAAATTGTTTAAATTACAATATTATAAACAAAAAAAGATTTAATTGAAAAAAAAAATGTATATAAATAATAAATTTGTTTACTTTTCGGTGCAATATTATGTAATAGTGTTGCTAGAAGTCGAGTGATAAGAGTATTTTTACCAGACTTACATATATTGGCGTATAAGGAAACAAAATTGTGAATTGGTACAATATCGGCTATAAAAAAAATGCAGGCAAATCGAGATAAGAAGTATTTTCCACATACAATACAATATATATAAAGTTAAAATGACGTTTAAAAATTATACACAATTTTCCTACGAATAATAATAAATTATATTAATATGTACTAAAAATTTTATAACTGTTTCAATAAATGCTTAAATTTTTTACAAAACTGTAAACGCAACAAAAACACCAAGTTGGTGTTTTGGCAAGTTATGCATATTGGTTTATTGTTCAATTATATAGTAATAAGAAATGTTGCCAAAAATATATGGTCGTAACTCTAAAATAAACTAAAAAATTAATGATATGTAGGTAGCACCACAAAAAATTATAATGAATGATTTGGCTTGGATTATAGGTGTAGTTAGACGGAATTGCCGAAATCATGGGAAAAGAACTCAAGAACTCGTAAGTATTGGTTCTGCGGATGGAATTATGTTAAAGAAAAATACCGAAGCTATAATAATCTTTACAAGGGCATTTTTAATAGCATAAAATTTTCGTCGATCAGTTTGAATGGCACCTATATATATGCTATAGTGGTCCGATTACAACAATTTATTCCTAGATTGTAGCCTTGCCTTGGACGGATAGACAGACGGACATGGCTATATCGACTCAGCTCGTTACGCTGATCATTTATATATCTCTTCTTTCAGTGTCTTTCACATTTCTTGGCAATTTTAATATGCCCAGTTCTAGGTATACTAAAGAATTGATGCTGTATTGGTAGCATGCAAAAAAAATCTAATAAACAAGCTAAGAATGACTCTGAATCGATTATTTCAATTATGATGATTTGCGGAATAATCCAAAGGATGTTGGAGCTTAGTCTCTAATTTACCGCAATGAAATAAATAAAAAATATATAAATAATTGCAAAGAAGATTATAAAGTAATTTTTTTTCAGATTTTGTCGTTAAATTTTTCAAAAATAGACGGCCTTACAAAATTTGTGTACTTTAATGCATAAAATTACACACCTTAGTCGATTGATTTTTATGGGTTTATTACTTTTTAATGATAATTTCACGACACATTATAATTACGTAAACTTTGGGAGTCCTTTAATCTTACTTTTTTATAACTTAATTATCTATGAACAGGTAAACATTGCCGCCCTTCCAGCAAATTACAAGTGACATACGCAAATCAGCTTTAACTATGAATTATAATTAAGCGTGACAAGGCATTAACTTATTCATGGTCTAAATACAAACGAACAATAGACAATCGCCTACAAGCCAGCAGGCATACGAGTACCTATTTACACCAGTCTGCCTTTTGGGCATTATAAATTGTATATTAAAGTATGTAAATACAATTTATTAATGAATTCCTGCAAGGATGTAAATGGTTGTGTACATAATATATGCAATACTTGTATATGTAATATAGGCATATTTATACAAATACAAAATGGATAATCTTTATGGTTTAGTAAATTGGACTTACCGCGACGATTGAAGGGTCGCACCCTTACAGCAACTTTGATCTTATCAGTTGACATGGTGTATACCGGCAAGTTTAAGTATATTTCTATATAAATATATATATTCCTCTTAGTATGTATGCTTATTTACAAGCGCTATACCGATGTGTGGTTTTATGTGTGCACGTGATTAACGTTGCTCGTCACTTAGTATGTGGATATATACACACAACGTACGGAATCCGGGGAAAAAGGATCAAGTATGCGCAAAATAAATTTTTAAGTTTGCGTGTCGCGTTGCTTACTGGTGTCGCGTAAAACCACGTCGTCCGACGAAGTATGTCTGTTTTAACGACGTAACGCTGTGGGAGTACGTTATCCTTTGGCCAAAGTTACACTTAAGCGAGTTTCAAAGACGACAGGCAGTTATTAATATGCCTTTTCCCAATGTGTCGTGTGTTGTCGACTTTGACGAGAACGGAAACAGCGACGTTGACGTTATGAATGACGTTCGCGATATACGATAAAAGTGTACATACACAACAGTTCGCACAACGTTTGTAACAAACAAAACAATCACGATGGCGGCGTTGGAGCCTTGTGACGCGTTCACAAATAGCGTATTTTTATTAGCTTCTCCTTCGTGTGCGCCACAAAGCGCTCTCTAAGCACTGCGCCGCACCTTCTTCAGCCCTTTCCTACTTTGCACAACTCAAGTAGAACTTGAATGGCATATACTTTGTGTGGCTGGCTTTATTTATTTTTTTTCACACTATTTATTTTGTTTTGTTTCTTTTGGATTACTTTTTATATATGTGTGTGCTTTATTTGCTTATTTTTTATATTATACATGTACACATTTACATGATAATTTTGTTACCACTCTGTAAATTTGTAAGCAGTAATATCAATTTAGAATTTTGTATAATTAATATTATATTAATAATTCTTAGTACTGTGTGCCACAAGCCAAAGCGAGCGAGGATTCATTCATTGACACCCAAGAGCATAGCACAACGGTACTGCACAAACAAAAGCACACGAATATCAGGTGTATTAGCGCCCACTGTTGAATGGTGAGAACTGATGGTGACGGTTTGCGCGTAAAGCCGACCCAAATTGAATATCGTATATCGTGTTTTTTTTATGATCTTAATGGTGATGGACAAGCAAATAACCTGACAATTTTTGTTTTATAATATTTACATTGTTTGTTTTTACTTTGTGTGTCAGCAGGACAGCTTTTCAATTAAATTAAAAGCTTTATATCATTGACTTAAGTGGTTCAAAACAGGGAGACAACACCTACTAAAATGCGCGCTTAACGTTAAATTTATAAAAAACCGTTTGTATAGAAGCGCAATTAATATTTTACATAAAATAATGTGACTATAATTACAGCGAATTTCAAAGAAGTCCCCTTATTAAAAATGGATATGTTAAGCATAGAAACCGGTCAGTTAGTTTAAAATAAACAGTGCTGTGTGCAGTTCAGAAGTCGGCTGCACATAAATATTATTGACAAATAAAAATGACACCACTTTATGTATTCACGTGTAGAGTTTTTTCTTCATTAGTTAAAAATGAAGCCGAAATTTAATCTTGGTAGCCGCAGCGCTTGATGAGTATTCCGCTAAAACCCCCATGCTCGCTGGTGTGTGGAGTGTTGAAGGACACTGTTTCGCGCAGCAAGGTGCGCAGTTCGCGTGCCAACACAAGAACCCATTCGTTTTGACTGCATATTTCCTTGATTTTTTTTTTTTTTTTTTATAAATAGTTGCCGTAGTTCGTGCTAATATTTACTTAAAATTAGTGTTCCCATTCATTACTATGGCGCTAAAATATTTACAAGGTAAATTCTTTTATGTAGTTTGGAGTGAAGTATGCATTCGTCATACATTTATGGTATCTACATTTGCTTGTGGTTTTATATACATGTATGTGCTCCTTGGCGATTCTCTACATTTATTTTTATTAATAATATGCGGTTTTCAGGCTTATTATAAATATGTATGAATACGCGTGCTTTTCATTCAATAACTTTAATTCTTTCTCTCTTTTAACGTAATTTCTTTTCAATGCACACTATTAACTTTTACATATCTTTATAATTGCACCATTAGTTCCGAGAACCAATTCAGATCAGCTAAATCCTCATTGGAAGAAATAAAAAACTGTATATCACAACTGCAGTGCCATTACCAGCATCACCCACCCACTAAATAGTTGCAAAATAAAATATTAGCGAAAATAAGAAGATAAGCCTTAAAATATTGATGAGCGGGTGGAAGGAAAAGGCCTATAAAGGCAAAACAGCGCACACAAATTGCAATGTTCACTCGTGGAAATACATACAAGTACATATGTATGTACATACACATATACACAAAATCATTTTACTTTCTCCCCCTCTCTTTACACCTTTTTTTTTATTATTGCTTCATACTTTGCTTCTTTGTTGCTATCATTCATGTGTAGTGCAGCTTGTTGCCCCTCACTCTTCGCACAAAATTAAACTATAAGCAATACAACAAAAGAATGAAAACCACATCCCCCTCCACGTTCCATCAGTTCCATACCAACAACTATCACTTTTCTGCTGTTTTGTGCGAACTTTTGCTTTTGCTTCTTCTTCTTCTTTCACACAATTTTCTCATATTCCTCCATTGGCTTTATGAATCGATTTTATCGCTGCATTGGCAATTTTTTTTCCTATTTGTTTCAACACCTAAAATTTGCTAATTTTCACACACCAACATTTTACGCGTAATCTCAAAAAGTCCTCGTTTATTACGGCCGCGTTTTTAAGAGGTTTTCGCAAATTATTTTGTATATTGTATTGGACTTTTCACAGATTTTTAGCAGGTAAAATAGCGACGTATAAAAGAAAAACACTTGACACGAGCGCCATATTTGATGGACAAACTCTTTCTGCTCATTCTGCTTTGGCTAACTGGCTGAAATTGCAGACGAAACGAATGTAAAGTGTTGAGCGCGACGCCTGCTGGGGACACTTATGGCATGAATATGACATAAAAGAGAATGGCGAAGCATGTTCAGTGATAACTGTAAATAACAACCGCAAGGTGTCGCTTTAATCACAGTTCCTTTCCAGAAGGGCATTCACTAATAAGCAAATTATTTAAGAAAAGGCAAAATATACCTTTGAACAGATTTATAACCTAAGTACATTTTAATAGGTATCGTAATCGTTATATACTTTAATAAAAAACAATTGTTTATCTTCTTTGTAATGACTTTAAATCCAACTTTTTTGGTAAAGAATGTAATTATGAATTGGAAAATTGGGCTTTTATTGTTCCATAAGGTTCTGGATTATGGAAGTATATGTGATGTTGTTGTTGTGTAGGAGAAGCTTATTACTCATCAAAAGGTATACTGTAGCTTGGTTATCTGCATCCTACTAGTATGCGGAAACCATACCGCACTGCTGATATATTTATGTATATCTTGTTAGCAGCCTATTATTTATTCCAAATTGCATTTACATAGTCCTCTCTTAGATGTACCTTGATCATACCAGTAGAGATATCTGCTCTTTTAAGAAGGCCCAAGAGATAGTCTAGCAGTTCTTGGTTTGAACTAAGTTTTATCTTATTCTTATATATGTTATTGTTATTCCTTCGCGTGTCGTCACCCAAGTGCGTCACACAGTGTGTTGTCAGTTCTGGCCTAAAAGGACCATACTTCTTATATATGTATATAAATATATATATACAAGTATAGCTTTGAACGAAAGATAGACTGATGTCCTAAAACTCCAGGAAACTTTGAGGGTTATAAACAAAATGTTGAGCTCCGATAGAACGGAATGTTTGGAAAGGTCCAAAACTGCGACCGATAGTTACGACTCTTTTCCTATAGAAAACCTTTCATCCGCGTAGAAAATGTTTTACAATCTTTTCTTCTGCTTCTTGGTAGCTTCTACAGTAATCGTTGTGTGGTATTACCAGTCTGTTGGCGTGTCTTTCAATAAAACAGTGAGCTGTTAGCACTACTACTACAGTTGATATGACATTCCTTTTGAATTACATGTGCGGCCTGTATTCCATTAAAGCCACGTTTGTCTGCTTGTTGACCAAGTTCGGGACCCGTTTCCACCAAGACTCAGCTACACGTTGATCTATAAATTATTTGTTGGTTAAATATCTACAAGTAGCCAGAGGCATATATATTGCCTCTTTATCGGGGTCTAATTGTAATTGTGCCACTAATTGAACTAAAAGCATTCACTTCTTTCCGATTTTGGGAAACTATACTCACCGAAGGTTGTGTCGAATGAGCTGTTTGGAATGGACTCCAAGGGCTTTTGCTATCAATAGTACTAGAATAGAATCTCCGTTCAAACATCGTAACAGATCTTATTATCAGTTGAGTTAGCTTACAGCTCCGGACTGCTTCTTGTATCCATTCTTAAGATTTCAAAGGTCCAAATACTCTACATCGGAATCTCTCGGTATATGTGAATCTAACTTTCCATACCCACCCACATATACAACCTTGCGTATTCGAGTTGTGTGTATAAGACTTAAGTGCAAAAATGTCATGAGAAATAAATTCCGATGAGTGAGGAAGGATCCCAAAAGAATCCACATAACCTGTGATGGCTGAATATATCATTTAGTTTTTAGATAATTACATACAGACATACATATAAACATTTATTTCCAACCTGTCAATATGCCACTGCGCCAGGGTCAATACGTCAATGCTCACTGAATATGGCAATCCGAATAGGTCGACTAGCCTTCTGCCGAAAGGCTACGAGGCAACAATTTAAATTTATATGAATATTATACTTTAATACATACACACAATTAAATATATATTATATACAGACACCTTTTTGTCTGAGAACAGAATGAAATCTTTAAAGCGCTTGCTGGAAATCTACCAGCGAACAACAAAAACATAGTAAAAGACGAGACAGCAAATTATGAAGACTTCGTGCAAGGATTTGTGCCCCAACAACGCATTAATTGACCTACTGTTTACATCCACAAAAAAATATGTACATGTTTGTGTGTGTGTGCACTTGTTGCTGTTACATAAATTATTCGAAGATGCAATCGTCGGGCTTTTGTAATTATTTCCGGAATTTAGTTGTTGTCTGACAATGATGGTTAAAATCAGTTGTATGTGTGTGTGTACATACAAGTACATACAAAGCACTATACTGTGTTAAACCGAAATGTATTCCTTTGACGCAATACTGGTTTCACTACTAAACTATGGACATCCAAACGGATCTGTGGACTTTGCTAAGCTAATCGAAATGATTCCCTTCTTCTTACTATACTAAAATATAATATATTACAAGTATATGCTGAAGGTGATATACACACATATGTAACTCCGATCCATCTGGAAACCAGCGAATTTTTTAATTTAAAAATTTTGTATTAAAAATAAAAATTTAATTGGGGATTAAAAATTGAAAATTTAAAATATTATTCGGTATTTCATGAATCGGTAGTTCACTGAGGACGCAATCTTCGATCTGACTACATCCGAACATTGATCTCTTACGATTATTTTACTTGACACACCCATCTTAAACAGGAGTAACGGGTTTTCTTCGATTACTAAAGTAATCTTCAGATAAGTTTGATCCAGACTATGGTAGAGGGTATTTTTGACAAAATTCTACGATATGTCAATGAACAATATTTCATGAAGACTATGTTCTTTAGAGCCTTACAATTCTTTTGTACTGGAATTTGTTTTATCTCTTTAATGTAGCAGTATTTTACGCCTGTATGGCTTTGAGGATCAGCAATCACTACTCCATAGTTAGTCTCTGGCGAGGAGTAAAGAGAGACTATGGAGACATCAGAATCTTCAAAATTAATGGATCCAGTGCAGATTTGTGTAGGACTGTTGACCAAAAAGTTGTTGTGAGGCAGTTTTTTTTACGGTAACTATTTCATCGATTTATTTTAAGAAATAATAATTATAAACTATTAGAGAACTTGGAGTTTCATCAAGAAAATAAATGTTACCAATCATATTCCCATAACAGTTGGACTGACGAAACCAAAACGATCACATTTTATATGCATACATATATCGCAGGAATACTTTCCATCTGAAGGCTATCCCAAAAAGATTTAGAAGTATATAAAACAGTTACAATGTTTGTGACTGCTTTTTGTGGAGTCGGATCTGGCCGGAATCTGAAAAAATTTTACTGTTGAAGCAGTTTTTAATCAGCAAAATGACAAAATCCACAAAAACTTCCAAAGATGCAAAATATATAATTCCAAAGCTTCAACGTAGTCACCATTCAGTTGCTGTAATGGTTTAGAGGGGAGTCTCCGATTAAAGCGTTACACCTTTTCACTTCTGTGACAAAGTTGTTAAAACTGGGACAAAAGCGTACCAGCAAGATGTTTTAGAAGGCGTGGCAAAGCAGTTCTCTCTTCGATAGAGAGCTTTGGAGCTTCCAACAAAATTCTGCTAAAGCACACAAGGCAAAAACCACACAGCAGTGGATTAAAAGTAATAATCCTGGTTTCATAGCTGCAGATGATTGGCCGTTTAGAAGTACAGATTTGAATCCATTGGACTACAGTTTGTGGTCAGAGTTGAAGAACATGGGTTGTCGAATACCGCACAGAAATTTGAAGAGTCGGAGATTATCTAAAAATCTTTAGTTCGAGCAGCGTCGTCAATACCAATAGAAACTGCGGCTTAAAAATTTTTGAAAAAGTGGGCATCATGGCCCCGACCTCTTATAGATTTAATATATTGTACATTTCTCCTAAACCATTTTGGCCAAATTCGCTCAGAACAAATATTTTTGGCATCCCTACCGACGCTTTTTTGCGACTATTCGTGAAAACCTATAATACTTTTAAGGCCAAAAATTGTCAAAATCAGACTAAAACTGTTCAAGCCCCCAGTTACGTGTCCTATTGCGAACTTTTTATCGAAAATATCGGTCAATATATAATATAAGGTATATTATTGAATATATACTATAGTTTTATGCCGATAATATGTGAAATAGGTCTATGAATTACCTTTACCCCATATACTACATACAAATGATTTTATTATATTTTATTCTATATATATTCGGCCGAATATATCGGTCAGTGTGTGGGTTATATATTTAGAAAACTGTTGCAATCAGCCCAGATCTTTTCTGCCCGAAATGTAACCTATATAGTGATTTCGGACTTCCCACCTGTCTTTAAACCGTTTAGGTTGGTCAAAATGAGCGATATTTTAATGAAATTAAGTGGACAAATTTTGTTAAAAACTATAAAATTATATAAATGATTTATGGCCGAAAATAAATAATAATAGAACGTGATCTAAACCTTATATACCTAATATAATGATTTCCGATCCACTGGTTGGTGCATTCCATATCAATCAACTCAATTCGCTTTGTTTGAGCTTATATCACATATTTATATCTCATTTGCAGATGATTTTAATATAATTTTTGCTGTCGCGAAGTAAAATATAGCATTATAACTCAGTTAGTGTATAACCTATAACGCTACTTAATAAAATACCAAATTTAATTGTAATCCCTTCACGATTTTGTCAAATAATTAATGTTGAATTCATTCGCAACATTTTTTAATATACGATTTTGATAACATCTGAAAATATTTCCCCGGCTTTGATTCTTCGAAGTTGCAAGGGTATGAAATGTCTGGTTACATACTAACTTAGCGCTACCTTACTTGCTAAAAATATTATTATAGTTTAATTTTTATAACGGGCTAAGCTTATAACAGAACTTATGACAGGACTAAGTATTTAACTACAAAAGTTACAGTCTTATCAAGCTACTCTCGTTCATGATCAATTAACTATTTACAGGCATATTATTTAAATTGTATGTAATATATTGTAATATATCATAGCTGAAACTATTAAATGTTTGCTGTTGCAAGTAGAAACTATAATAAAGTGATATTAGAAATTATTAACTGATTTAGGAAAGTTACTTTGATAACAATTTATTATGGAGCTAAATGCTGCTATAAAAACTGATAAACGAGAAAAATTGATAAATATTCATGGGTGTATGAATGCTTCAAGATACAACAAGTTTAAGTCAAAGTCTTAGTCGTATAATACGACTACCAGATATCCTTCGCACGAGGCTTATTCGTATTTCAAGTACATATGTATGTATATTTAATGGTGACTAGTGAGCTTAATAATAGTATTTAGTTTGTAATTCACTCAATGTAATCAATGTTTGATGCAATTAGTCGGTGATATGCCAGTTTAGCTCTCAATTATTGTCAATAAAATTATAATAATAAGGTTTATGCATCACTTTGGAAACAGGATTTCCAAGACCTACATTTCAGTGGATAATTTTCGTTTGTTGTCAAAACAAAAACCTTAAAAATATAACAGTAAGGCTTGGACTCAGAGAAATACAATACAGTAAAATTTGGTAAGGCGTAACGTTGTGCGAAGAGCAAATTAATGAAGATTGGAAACTTCGTGAGTTTTGGCAAATAAATACATTTCTCTCTTTTTTCCTCTCTCTCTCTCACTGATTTCTTGTTGCACGGTATTAAAATATGATCCTAATATGATAATGAAATAGAGTCGTACCATTGGTACGTTTTGTTGGTAAGTGAGGTTCTGAAAGAAATCTTAAACTTTTACGAACTGGATCCTTGTACTGATTTTCTCTTAGAGAACACACTTTCTTGTCAGGCTTTTAAATAAAAGCTTGAAACAAAATCAACCCCGAAATAATTTGCGAAAGATATGTCAGGGATGCATTGTTTGAGAAGCTTTTAAAATCGAGATAAAGTGACTACAGCTAGATATCTGAGGTCTAGCGGCCGCAGTTCAAAAATTTCTTACAAAATATGGTCGGAATAGTGTTTTTTTCTCTTATTTCTATTTAATTCAAAACTTGCGTAATTTTGGGACACACCCTTTATATTCGAAATAGCTAAATTAAAATTTTTTAATTACAAATAGTTACAGTCTGCTCCATCTACGGCTGACTGTGAGATTGTCGGTAAGTTGTAAACTCCAAACCCGAACCAGAAGCTATAGAAAAAGGCAGATAATAATAATGCAACAACTGTTTATTCTATGGAACATACAATGAGACGACCATTAAAATATTTCATATAATGTTTATATTTGGGAATATAGCCATAGCGACTACGCTTTCAAAATACCATTATGTAGGTACAATTTTACATCATAGATTTGCCGTTCTAAACTTGCTAATAAATTGGCCCATATTAGCTGGTTTATCAGCATAGACCATTGACTAGTCTAACGGTGTTTAATTATATGACCTATGTGGCCATCCATTGATAGTTTCACAAGCAATGGCAAACCTTGGCTGAGCTCAGACTATTAAGGACTATAGCTTAGCGAACTGTAGACGGCCTATGTCGTTAGGTTCCCTATGAATATCCAATAAGCAGGCACTAAACAAGAGCTTAAAAGATCTAAAACATCCTATGAATCTGTGGTGCCGAGGTGTATAGAAGAAGCCTCGAAATACGCATTCACCACCCTTAAGGGGCTACCTCGGAGATTACCTGCAAAAGAGGGAGGGAGGCAACAGAGCGACGCGGTACACTACGACGGAAACCATTATACACAAATCCCTAATTTTCTGCATTTTACTAATACGTGCAAAGACTACCCGGCCTCGCGCCCATCAGTATTAAGACCAGTAATCGGGCTCTTACTAATTAATATATACTGGGAAAATTGATATGAATAAGTTCGCTTGTGGGCTAAAAGTAGCGAATCATTCGCCAGAAGCATTTTCCATAAGGATTTCAAAATTGTATTGAATAGGTTTGAAAGCCATCCCCCGAGGAAATTCATTACCTCTAAAAACAATGTATGGTAGTATGAGTAATGATCGATCAGCTGCAAATCTGACGGACAACTGTTTTTGAGTTGTAGAATTTCGTTGAATCTGTTTTGGTATAGGTGAGCGATAGACGCTTGCATTTTCAAGCTTACACAAATACCGAATCTCATTACTCTGTTTACAGAATGGTTGGGGTCATGCGAGACGATGGTAATAAACGTTAAGCGTCTTTGTCTTCAGCTCCAATAATAACTCTGAAGGTTAGGGCCATCAATTGTTACCAGAAATAAATCACCCAAATATGAACAACACGTATGCAATGGAACTCTTCACTGACGTATGATTAATACATACATACGAACAATTGTAATGATGCTGTCTACCGATCATACTGTTGCGGCTTACTGCTCTTCTCCTGCTTTATGCCATTCCACGCTCGTGGGTAAACAAAAGACCAAGAGCGCTGCCGAAAATCAAGCGATCGAAAACTAAATCGCTGAACTGCAACACGAAGCGGACAAAACGAAAAACTCAAACGCTGTCATGTTGAGAGCTCGAATTTCGGTGGAGCCAGCTCTGGGTCAACTGTGAGGAGCTACAATTGAAATGTGGTCAGTCGGTGTATGATTGAATGCAGATCGAAATTTTTAGCTTTTTCAACGCATGAGCTGTGGATAGCTGCGCTTATATGTAAGTGCCCTACGGTGGGTCAGACGAGCAGAAGCTGTGCTGTGTGGAGCGAAGCGAACGAATGAGCGCGTGAGCGATCTAGGACGGTACTAGCGAGTCGGCAAGAGCCATACATGAGAGTATAGAAGTATTGGTGCCAAAGTCCATACATACAAAGTCGGAGTTACGGATCTTGAAGCGGAGACCTTTTTTAATTGTGCGCGACGCATTGCTTACTCCCTACGCAGCGACACGGCGCCAATGGAAGACCGAAACTTTATAAAAGTTTGAGCGCACCGATAGTGCGCAGCATTTGCACGGAATAACTGACGGCACACGGTACGCGCTCAAAGTAGCAGTCAATGAAGAAATAATAAAATTAAAAGGTAAAAAAAAGTACAAAAAAGGTTGTTGGCTTTTTGTACGTGCGAAAAGAAAATAAAAGTGTTCGGAATTCAGTGTGGTTGTTGTACAAAACGTACAAAAAAATATAATTTTTTTTTGGTAGTGAAAGAAGTCAAAATATCCAATGAATGTGTTCAACGTTTGAAGGCCAAAAACAACAACTAAAAAGTTATACCTATATAATAACTACAAAAACAACAAATAACAACAACAACAATACGCCGACTCTACTTAGAGACAAACTGTTTCGTATGCGTTAATTTGTGGCAAAGTAAATGGTAATTGTAATAACAGCAACAACAACAATAACAGCAGCGACAATAACAGCAATTGTCAAAACGGCTTAACGCAACACAAGTAAAACCATCAGCAATGATAAGTAAACAAATATTTATTTAAATGAGCGCACGATGAAATGCCCAAGCGCTGCATTGCTTAATCGATAACCACGAAAAAAGTAGAAATAAATAAAAACTACATAAATAAATTACGAACAGTGCAGGCGGACAGAGAGTCGTGTCGACGAATGTTTGGAAAAGACCAAAAATCCACCGGAATTTTTCATCAATTGCGTTAATATTCGGAACTATTGAACGCTTTTACATATATACTAATATATACCTGGTATATACAGTAATCTTTATAAAATATATATATCAAAATATTCCGTTATTAACGTAGAACTTTTCGGGCAAACGTCTTTTCAGTGCACAAAACGAACGCCTGCTGCCTAGTTCTTGCCAAAAGTTAAGCGGCAAACAGCTTGAGCGCCAATGTGTGAAGAAAGCGCAAGAAACTGAAATACTTTTGACTCCTGCGCTTTTGCAAAAAAGTGATTTAGAAACTATTAGTGGAGTTTTAAGCGTGATTTAAAACTTATAAAATAAATTGAAATATTTTAAATTAATTTAAAAAAATTCTGTAAATTCGAAAATAATTTATGAAGTGCCTGTACAAATTTCGATTAACTTAAATTGCTTTGAGAAAAAAACTACTGCCAAATTTGCTGTTGGGGTATATTTTAACCAGCAGAAGTGGACATACAACATTTGGAAATATTTCGTAAGTTTAAAAATTTATTAAAAATCATGATCGTAGTAGTAGTCAATATTTAATAAATCTACCAAATATTACAAATAATTGTTAATTTTAAAATAATGCTGGAACAAGTGTAAATTCAAGTCTTTTACAACTGAAGAAAAAAATATAAATTACAATCTCGCATTTCATTTTGATTTATTATTGTGACTGCCCTAATAGCTCACATTTATGAAAATAAATGAAATTGCAATAGCAAGTGCTAGGTTTAGTGGAACTTTTTTAGTGCACTGTATCTACATAACAGTATTACAGAAATTATAAGCACTTAATTATATGCTACAGTAGCACTACTATTATTTTGACCGCAGTTGTACATATATAGCAATTTTGTTTTTTTTCATAATTTTTATTTTTTTATACTCTCGCAAAATGTTGCCACAGAGTATAATAGTTTTGTTCGCCTAATGATTGTTTGTAACACATAAAACTAATCAAGATAGAAAAGTATATACATATGTATAGTATAGTTATACTATATACTTAAAACATCAAGATGACGAGATGAGATGAATTCCGGATGTCTGTCCTTGCAAGTTATTACTAGAGTAAAAATTAAGATATCTTAATGGAACTTAGTACATGTGTTGCCTGACATGTTGTGTTGGTTTGTATTGAAGATGTCCGTGGTTGGCCCGCCTGCAAAATGCCATTAATTCAAAATTTATATAGCGTTATTACTAAGCTCCAAATTAAGATAAGAAACTGTAAGTTGGTACAGTAAATTGTAGTAGGGAGAAGCATCTCTGATTTAAACATATTTTTAAAGTGGGCATATCCCGCCCCTTAATACATTTATTATACATATTTCACAAACCACTAAAGTTATATCTACCAAACTTGCTCGGCAACTACTCAGAGAGAGCGAAATTGTGTGAAATTGGATTAAAACCAAGCACGCTCCCCATATAACGGTTAAGTTAAGAGTTACTAAAAGTGCGATAATCATCACTGAATTAATACGTCAGCAACAGTAAATTTCACAACCAAGATAGTTCCGAAGGGCTTCATATGGGCGTGTAATTGAAATCTTAAACCACACCAATTGGTTGAGTAGCAATTTCAACAAAATGTGGTCTATAATATTATCCCCACATTCTAATATTACATTATGAAAACCTTCTAATAATCTTAATTTCCATCTGATGCTTTCACTTTACAGTATATATACTTTTATCGAGAATTTGTACAAATAGTGTTTATAAGTTCATCTCACGTCTCAAAATTGTCAAAGTCGGACCATAACTTTTCAAGCCCCCAGACAACCAGTGCCTATGGCTGACTTTATATTTAAAATATTGGTCAAACGCTGAGATTTTGTTTTGAAATTCTGTGTCTAAAATGGGTGAAATCGGTTCAATACTTCCCCGAGCCACCATATACCTATTATAAAGTTCTTAGCACTTTTGGTTAACTGAGAAAATGGTTGATGAAACTCGGATAGTTTCTTTTCATACAAGTATTCATAATAATCCCACTTAAAATATAGAACAGTTTATATCTTAATTATGTTTAAATTAAAATAATTCATGAATAAATAATATTAAAAAAATATATATTTGTTTTCCAAATGAAAAAAAATTAAGAAACGTTAACTTCGGTTGCACCGAAGCTATAATACCCTTCACAAATACAAAGGCTCTTTACAAGAACTTGATTGCGATTGTTCAATTAGTATGGCAGCTATATGCTATAGTGATCTGATCTGAGCAATTTCTGCGAATCCTTAAACAATAACTCGTGCCTAATTTCGTGAAAATATTACGTCAAATAACAAAGTTTCCCATACAAGTACTTGATTCCGATTGTTTAGTTTGTATGGCAGCTATATGCTATAGTGGTCCGATATCGGCCGTTCCGACAAACGAGCAGCTTCTTAATGAGAGAAGAACAGGTGCAATATTTCAGATCGATAGCTTAAAAACAACTCAGCTCATCATGCTGATCATTTATGTATATATTTTATAGGGTATCAGACGTTTCCTACTGGGTGTTACAAACTTCATATACCCTGTTCAGAGTATAATAAAATAAAACTTTCAGTAAAATGCCAAAAAAAAATTCATTATTTTTGCAATTGACAAATATTTGTATGAATCATTTTCAAAATAAAATCTCAAGTATAATCACTTGGATACTTATACCGGCAATAACATTTTCGACTTTAAGCGTAGTTTCTAGCTCTCAAGAAAAGCAAAAGCTTCATACAAAAAACATTCAAGAAAAGCTCAAGTAGTTTTCTGGTGTTAAATTTTCTTGAAACAGTTTCCAGCTACCAAAAAATTCAGTAATTCGTAAATAATCTTTTCACTATATTGAATAGTCTATTATAATAGTATTTAATATATATCATAGCCATAACCGGTGGTCGGATCTTACTAGTCCCAATACTCGTATAATGATTTACGATCCGCTTTTATCTTTAACCAATGTATTTATTGTTTGCCCTTTTAGGTTGAAAATTAAATATTACATTGTATTTATTATTTTACAATTTAATCTAACTGTAAAACTGCAAACGAATAATAAATATAAATAGAAAAAAAAACCAAGCTAATTGCATTTCATTTTCGATTTTTGCTGACTACGTTTCCGATAAAAAATATATATTAAATTAATACATTTTAACCTTTTTACATAAAACACTACTGATAACGGCCGCACACGTTGAGTGACATGATTAACACTAATATATTGGAAAAATCTAAAGCAAAACAAAAAAATAAAAAAAATGTAATCTGGCAATGACTCTGTGTCGAGAATATAGAAATTAACATTACATTGTATTTATTTTTTAAATAACTTAATCTAGCCGCAAAACTGCAAACAAACGCATTTAAATTAATACGTTTTTTTTGTAATCTCGAAAATCTTAATTAAAAACAATTTTAAAATTTCTAATCACACATATCGGATTCAAATGTATTTTAATTTTTAGTAAAAAAAAAATTTAATTTTTTATAAAAAAAAATGTATTTTAATTTTTAATAAAAAAATATTTAATACATTTAACCAAATTTAAAAAAAAACAAAATTTTTATAATTTTTTATAAAAAAATTTTTGATAACAGACTTTTAAAAAGCAGCCGCGGCGGCATATTTAACATATAATGGCAAACTCTTATCTTTATAATAAAGCTAAATTCTTAGCCATAATATTAAATTATATGCTTTTTATTTTTTCTTGAAAACCTGACATGTGGTCTAAAATATTATGTATTCTCAAGCTTTGGCGCCATCTAATCGTTCTAATTCAGTTTTCCTGTGCTTCTTTACATATTGCCTAATAGCATTTCTTAAAAAATATGTCGGAACCACTTATTGAGTTTGTAATTAGTGAAAATAAATTTTGCATACTCTTCATACTCAATTTTGCCTAACATTTAGGCTCCCTATGTGACAACATAAGGGCAGATCTGTAATTAACATATTAAGTTTTAAAAAATATATAATATAAAAAAATCAGTAAAGTCAATATTTGATTTAAAATGAAGAAACATAAGTGATAAATGCAATTTTTTATGCTTTAATATAATTTTCAAAAACCTATATTTGGTACCCTAAATTGAAACAATTTTTTTTGGAAATTTTCGGTTTTCGTTTTAATTTTTCCATTTTTCAAGATCAAAGTTAAAGCCTACAAACATACTTGTATATACGAGAATGTGTGCTGACAAATTTGTGTGTAATTTTTAAAATGTTTTCATAATTTTTAATTTTTCCATACAAGTTGACCCTTCCTTATTCATACATAGCTAAGCTTCTTGGTGACAAATAGAGACCAACCTTTATTCAGTTGTATTTAAAGCCACTTAGTATACTCAATATTTGTCTGCTCAAAAAGTATTTGTATATATTTAGAGTTCAACAGTCAGCATAACCGGACTACTCAAAAACATTTTTGTGAGTGCCCAGTGCGAAAAATGTGGAGTTCTTAGTTGGGCAAGACTCCGACTGCAATAAAATAACTTACCTAATATCGGGAACACGAAACTAAAAATTGAAAAATAGTTATAGAGAATAACTTATTCTGTTAGAAGAATATATGTACCGATTTCATTAGATTTTGGTACGAAATCACATTATGATAATGGAATTCCAGCGAATATTGTTGGATTATATCGCTCTCTGGCCAATACCTATGCATGTTATAATACCAACCTGATGGAAAGGTGATATCTAATATATTAGGCATATGGAGCTAGAGAAATATTAAGAATCATTTCATCGATTCCCGATGCCAAAACATATTACTTCAAGCAAACTTTCTTTTTACAACATTTCATTGAGATATCTTATATACTAACTGAATACTAACTGATTATACAATAATTAATGAGTTGGAAGAAAGAAAATTATTTTATTTGAAAAAGAGGTACCAAGACGACTGATCATCAATTTCTTATACCACATTAATTGCAAAACTTTAAACTTCTCTTGGAGGAAGTTATCATGATATTTCAGGACTAAATTACCTCAAATAAAACTAGTCTATATACACATAAGCCCCATAGAGCATTCTTATCACTAAATTTTACCCTTTCTATAGAGTTGTACGTTTTAAACAATACCCATTACTTGCCGATATTAATAGGACGAAATGGTGAAATGTAATGTTCCCAACGAACGGCTTGATTGTTTAACCACGTAGTCTCTTGTCGTACCAACTTGAACTTTTGCAAGTAAATTAACCAAAGACTTAAAGCAATTTAGTATATATTTTCGAATAGGTTTTTACGATTTGGGCCATTTGAAATGTAAGCCTCCTGAAAGGATAGACAGATTGTGAAGAATTTTGGTATATGGCCACAGCAATTGAGCCTAATGCAAACTTCTTCAACTTTTTCTAACTTTAGCTCACTTAAAATGTGCCGACTATTGATTTCCAGCCAGTCGGTCGTAGTTATTTCATTTTAGGATTTGATGTACTCCCACAAAAACTTGTCTAACGGAGTATTATGAGC